ATGAATATTCTGTTTTGAAATAACACTAATTTTTCCAACCGCGGGTACTATCGCTGAACCTATTCTCAGCCATAACTAAACATAGATATCTTAACAGATATATGCATAGAACAACCCTGCACCAAACTCTAGCTTGGGACAATTCCGCAAATCAAAAGTAAAATTCAGCATAATCAAGCTAGCCCTTTTCTGTTTTATTATATAGCAGCATTATTTTGGAAAGACACAAGAAAATACTTGAGCTTTAAAAAAACTAGAGGCTAGAGCAATTAAACTAGGAACAACAATTGTAGCTTCAAACACTTATTCAGACTCAAAAATAAGATCACAAACAGGCTATGTCGCTCAGATTCTCCAAAAATAATGCCACAATTGTAACTTCCCAAAGGTGTGCAATTATTTTGGAAAGACACAATAAAATACTTGAGCTTTAACAAAACTAGAGCAATTAAACTAGGAAACAACAATTGTAGCTTCAAACACTTATTGAAGTTAAGATCACAAACTGGCTAGGTTGCTCAGGTTCTTCAAAAATAATGTCGCAATTGTAGCTTCCCGCGAATGTGACGTTATTTTGGAAAGACGCACGAAAAGACTTCAGCTTTAACAAAACTAGAGCAATTAATGCCACACCCGTGTCACAATCCTCCAAAAATGCACTGCTTTTTGAGAATCTGACAGCACCATTTTTGTAAAGTCCGAACAACATATCAATAAGCAACCAGCATCTAATAATGCTAAAAAAATAATCTTTTTTTGAGAGGTTCTCTCTACTAGCACTTTTCCACTACCCAAACTTAAAATTTTAACAACAACAACAAATTCAGTCAATTCCAACTAAAAACAAATAAGACAGACCATCAAGTAAGATCAAACACGCCGCCAAGAAACATAATTTCTGGACAAAATTCTTCAAAATCAACAAATTTATCAAAAGGGGTTCAAATTAAAGAGCAACCATCGTTAATTCAATCGATTTCACGATCTGGGTAAGAACAAAACTTGAAAACAAAAAAGGAAAACACATAAAAGAACCCTTTTTATCGCTGAATCTGATAAAACTATAAGCAAATAGCACAAGAAAATACCAAAATTATGTGAACCTGCTGCTGCTGCTGCTGAAATGAGAATCTGCAAAAAAGATTGAAGAAGAATGACGGGTCTCTCTATTTATACATGGAGAGAAAAATAGTATAGAAGAGAATCTGAGAAAGAAAGGACACTGAAAGCAAGTGTATTAATTTTTTTACTTTAATAGAAAGGATGCACCCTCTATTGTCTCCCCCCTCTTTCTCTTGTTTTTTTTCCCTTTTTCACTCGGTGTTCGGTATCTTAATAAAAATATTCTATATTAGAGCTCGATATGAGTTCAGAACTAGATTATTTCTTTCTTAGGTTTGACTGAATTTGAATTCACGTCGAAAGATCTAAAATATTTCTTAACAAAGATATTTTATAGTCAGAATTTGAATAGAGATCATTTCTCTTGATGTTTGATTAAATCTTAAATGTTTCTTAATAAAGATATTTCATACTCAGAACTCGAATACGGGTTTATTTCTTTTGAGGCTCGACTAAATTTGAATTCACGTCGAAAAATCTAAAATGTTAAGAAAACAAAGATATTGTGTACTTAGAGCTCAAGTAGAAGATCATTTCTCTCGAGGTCTAATTATATTTGAGTTCGCTTCGAAAAATCTAAAACATTTCTTAACGAATATACTCCGTACTTAAAGCTCATCTGATTATATTTGAATTCGCGTTGAAAATCTAAAATATTTCCTTACAAAGATACTCTTTCATGATTAGGATTCAAACACGAGATTATCCCCGACTTCCTTTCTCCCTCTTTGATTGTTTAAGAAATTATTTTATTCTTTTTTTTCTTCCTTATTTTGAGTATTTGAAGTTAATAGGAGTATTATTACAAAATGATGGTGAAGATCATCATATAGTTTAAACATAAATCATGACCAATTTAGAATTAAAATGATATTGATTGTTTTCTTAACGAGAATGATGCCTTGATTGTAATTATTGTCATATATATGAGAAAAATAATGATTAAGCTAAGTTTAATTGAGTATGAGTCTTACTATAATCAACAATAGTTTGAATTGATTTGTGCGTAAATTGAAGTTGAATTTTTTTTAATTTTCTATTGTCAAATTTTGTAGGTGAATAAAAAGCTATTTATATTAGTGGAAACAAAGTAGTCAAGTGATGGAAAATACTTTGAAGTGTTAAAATTTAATTTTATAAATAAATAGTTGTTTATGTATTTAAATATAAACTTTAAATGGATACAAGAGATTAATATAAAAGAGGGGCATTAAAAAAGTTGTTCAATTATAAAAATCAAGAGATAATTTATTATTTTGTACTATTTATTTCTCCAATATTTAAATGACTTATAATTAAAAAGAATAATATAGTAAAATTATTCATTATTTATTATGTTTAAGATGTATATCATCAAATATGGAAAAATAAAGATGAACAAAGATGTACATATCTCATTCTAATTTGGGCCAAATCATTTGGATCTTGGCTAATCCGGTCCACTCGAAAGGAGAAGTGCACAAATAGCCAATTTGAGACTTATTTGGGATATAATTCTCTAGTACATTATAATCGGGCTAAAAACACCTTAAATTTTGTTACTATGTTATGTAATGTAAATCTTTTAGAGATGATTTAAATACGCGATTAAATATTGGAAGTGACAAGATTGATTATACCTGTAAGACTGGGTCAAAAAAAGAAGCTAGACTATGCTGAATTTACTGTCAATGACTGTAAATCAACCTATAAGACATATACATAAAACAAAAATAATCAAAAAGTTATTGATGAGTGATTTGTTTGTTAGTTCAGTATGAAGTAACCCAAAATCTCCATATAGATTGTCTTCAATTATAAAATAAGGTAAGATAAAAGAGTTATTGCTTGTGGTTGAGAAATTACGAGTTCAACTTATGAGAAAAAGGCTATTACTGAAAATGTATGATAATGACATGTACACATAGACTTAATATGTTGTTTAGGGGTGGCAAAGTATTAACTAATTCATGAAAACACAAACCATCACCACCACTCAACTCCAACGTGTTAAAATTTGAACAGGTTAATGAACTGTCTATTTATTAAAGTGAACTGGTTTAGGAGATTAGTTTTAAATATATATATATATATATATATATATTTAAAACTAATCTCCTAAACCAGTTCACTTTAATAAATAGACAGTTCATTAACCTGTTCAAATTTTAACACGTTGGAGTTGAGTGGTGGTGATGGTTTGTGTTTTCATGAATTAGTTAATACTTTGCCACCCCTAAACAACATATTAAGTCTATGTGTACATGTCATTATCATACATTTTCAGTAATAGCCTTTTTCTCATAAGTTGAACTCGTAATTTCTCAACCACAAGCAATAACTCTTTTATCTTACCTTATTTTATAATTGAAGACAATCTATATGGAGATTTTGGGTTACTTCATACTGAACTAACAAACAAATCACTCATCAATAACTTTTTGATTATTTTTGTTTTATGTATATGTCTTATAGGTTGATTTACAGTCATTGACAGTAAATTCAGCATAGTCTAGCTTCTTTTTTTGACCCAGTCTTACAGGTATAATCAATCTTGTCACTTCCAATATTTAATCGCGTATTTAAATCATCTCTAAAAGATTTACTCGATGTCGGATAGAAATTGGATATGATCCTACTTCTCTAGTTTCCTTTTATCCTTTTAATTTTTTCCCTTTTATGATTAGTGTTGTTCTTTACGTGTACCATATTTTCAGAGACTAATTCAAGATTTTAAATTAATGGGCATAAAATAACTATGTATCATTCAGTATTTTCTTGTGACGATGACTGAATTTGACGCGAATATTCATTTTTTAGGAATTTTCAACTATTGATATACATACATAGTTCGAGCAAAAGTAGCATGCTTCCAAGAAGATCTCCTTATACATGTAACGCTGTTTGAAAATAATCAAAAGTAAGTATCATTGTGGAATTTCACAACGTATGTTGTTGTATCAATCGAGTCGTGGAATTATGACAATAAACCAATATTGCTCCAAGTAAAATATTGCTTTCACCATTTCGAGACACACATAGTAGATGAAACGTCTACTAAATCAAATTTCTAAACTCATTTCTTCTTATGTCTGTTACTTGAGCTGATGGTCTTTCGGAAACATCATATTTATCTCCACAAGGTAGGAGTAAGATTTGTGTTGTGTATATTCCACCCTTCCCATATCCTACTTGTGGGAATACTCCGGGTATGTTGTTGTTGTTTTCATTCTCTTGATGCCCCTTGAATGGAAACATAAGAATAATAACAATTCTTGATAATACAATGACACATTTACATAGTCTAGTCAGTCAAAAATTATTGTCACATCTACATTGATTTCTTTAATAAAAATCCACTTGACTTTGTAGTCTTCTGATAGGATGACACATTCCTTAAACAAATTTTCTGGATCAAATTAAGTTCGAATGAGACATAATATATACAAAATTTAATAATGTTTAACGCGTTTATACTTACATTATACATAATCCAACAAAATATATTCACAAGACCAATTCCTCCATGTTCATATACTTAATCAAGAAAACAACAGCTATGAATTGGTTTCTGAATATTCTCTGCATACTAAACTTTCTAATTTCATGTACCAAAGCTCAACAAGAATACTCAGGTAATTCAGTATTGAACTGCAAAAACGAATACGAAACGAATTACTCTTGCAATGGAAGAAATTCCACTTGTCAAGCATTTCTCATATTCAAGGCTAGGGATCCTTACAATTCAGTACCTGGAATTGCTGCTCTCATGTCTTCAAACATGTCTGAGATTACTCGTATCAACAATGTCACGAGGCTTACAGTGTTCGCGCCAGAAAAGGAGGTTATAATTCCAGTGGACTGCTCTTGTTCAGGTTCGTATTATCAAAGCCAAAACCATGTACTATATATCACCTCTTATTGAAACATACTTTGTGATAGCAAATAATATTTACCAAGGATTATCAACCTGTAATGCATTAGTACGTCGAAATGAATATGATGAGTTCAGTTTAAGACCTGGTCTTGAGTTGCAAGTTCCTCTCAGGTGTGCCTGTCCAACAGCAAAACAAGTTGCAAAAGGCTCAAAGTATTTGATGACTTATTCAATTGACGTTGGCGATGACATCCTTAAAGTTGGCAAAAGATTTAATGTTAGTGTAACGAACATAGTTGAATCAAATGGATTCTTGGATGAAAATTCTGTTCTGTATCCTTTTACAACCATTCTAATTCCCCTGCCTTCTGAACCATCAAATTTAGATACCAGAAATGAGAATTATAGAAAACCTGTTAGGTCCTTTTCACCTCCACCGGTAGCTAATGCTTCAAAGGGAAAATCAAAGAGAAATCTTTACATAGGTAGTGGAGTTGCAACAGGCTTTGTTCTGTTACTGCTTGTGGTTTCTTGGGTCGTCCTTCTTGCTTTGTTTAAAAAAAGGGATAGAAAATTTCCAAGGAGGTCTTCAAGTCATGAAGATATCCTCGTGGAGATCGCGAACATAGATCATGTCCCTAAAGTTTTCAAGTTCAAAGAATTGAAGCATGCTACGCGAAACTTTGACTCCAAGAACCGGATAAAGGGATCTGTATACTGGGGAGGGTTTAAAGGGGAAATCTTAGCAGTCAAAATAGCAATCATGGATGTATCTAGAGAAGTGAACATGCTGCATAAGATCAATCACTTCAATCTAATAAAGCTTTGTGGCTATTGTGAACATAAAGGTTGCTTCTTTCTTGTCTTTGAATACATGAAAAATGGCTCTCTCAGGGAATGGCTGACCAGAACCAAGTCTCGAGATACCATAAGCTGGAAAAAAAGGATTCAGATTGCGTTGGATGTAGCTAATGGACTTCATTATCTTCACAGCTTTACCAAACCAGGCTACATCCACAAGAACATCAACAGTAGAAACATTCTCCTCGACAGCAACATACGAGCAAAGATTGCAAACTTCAGTCTTGCTAAAGAAACGGATAAATCAGGCACGAGTTGGGAGCTTGTTGGGACAACAGGATACATGGCGCCTGAGTACGTTGAGAGAGGGTCAGTGACTTCAAAGATGGACATTTATGCCTTTGGAGTTGTACTGTTGGAATTAGTCACCGGAAAAGATGCTGTAATTGTAGAGGAAAGTGGAGAAATTCTGCTTTCTGCTGCAGTAGCTGCAATAATGGAAGGAGAAAATGCAGAAATTGAACTGGATGGATTCATCAAAGCAGATATGAGGGAAGATGATGATTTGGAAATAGCATTTTCGGTAGCCAACCTAAGCTTAAGATGCTTGACTCGAGAACCAACAAATCGTCCAAGCATGGAAGAGCTAGTATCATGTCTACTGAAGATTCAAGTTAATGTACATAAGGCAGAACAAACCAGTCAGAATTAAGAATATGGACATAGGAGGGGTTAAACTAACTCCAGCCTTGTTTTTTTTTTGCATTTGTTCTAGAGCCTAGACTAAGGCTGTATGTTTTAAGATTCAGACGTCTAAATTCTGAATACGAACCTGTATATTAAGTTCTATTGGCCGTTGAATGAGCCCTCGACCACCATGTGGTAGCCAATATTGAACTACTGACACTGATCTTGAGTATACTCTTCAAAACATCAACTTTATCATCGATGCCATGACGTTCCTCGATGCCTCGTTCAGTGTGTACATCAACATTTGCTCCCCTTCCAATACATTGTTCAAAAATGTATCAAAAGTACATTAATACGTGTAAAATACAAAGCTAAACATTGACATAATGCAATCAGGATAATCAAAAGAAAATGGCAAAAACAGAAAACTGAAAAGGACCCTTTGAATCCAGATTTTCAGTCTGCCCCCAGACAACAACTTAATTTCATCTAATACTTTCTCAAATTATACAGTCATAGAATTCTTCATAGCTAAAATTAATAATAGACCTAAACAAAAGCTTACAAGAAACGGGTTAACAATTGCTTTGTGTACACTTTTGACAAACATCCAAGTTATAATATTTAATTATGGTGTGTACCATTTTCTTAAACGACACAAATTCATTGTCTGACCTAAACAACCGTGCAAACAAATGCTTAACGATGCATCATCTAGTCTTATATTTTTGGAACGATCTTTTTCTAATATTCATCAAATGGTAAAAATATCCAAAACAACTTAAACAACAACAAATCACATGTAGATTTCTAAAGAAGTTAACACATACTAACCAAAACAGTTTTCTGTTTCATTTTATGGTCTTGAATTAATGTATCAGAATCTTACATGGAGAAAAACATTGGCCCCAATTCTGCTAACCAGTGAGGCTCCACAGCTGTCACACACTGCATGTACTCCTTTGTCGTCAAGATTGCCTCATGATAAACCACGTAATCGGGAGTGTAACCCAATCCATAGAGAGCACTTGTGGGATGCAGGTTACAAGGCATTCTATTCCTGCAATTAACATATTCCCCAATCCCCTTCAGCATAGCTGCATTATGAAAGTATGCGGAACAGATTGTTTTCCGCACAACATCCCAATCAGAACCGCAGTATGTGAGTGGAATTTTGAGTGTCTTGAGGATGTCCAGCAATTGGGATCTTATCTCCCTAGCCTTGTACAGACCTTTGACCTGTAAAAAATGGTCATTACACCAGTCTCCTCTGTATTCATTAGCTTTCCATTGCTGGTAAACATTAAGCAATGTAAGGTGATCAGATTCTGGCACAAAAAACTTTTCCCTAGCAGCATCACTTTCCGCTTCCCTATCCTTAGGTCGAAAGAAAACTGAAGGCACTGAAAGCATAGAAACAATTGTCAGAACCTCATTTAAGCATTCTAGTTTTTCCCCCATCAGGAGCAATTTGGCAAGGGCAGGGTCCAATGGGAACTTCACCATTTTTCGTCCAAGGTCCATTAAATCCCCAACATCGTTCAGTGCACCTAGTAACCACAACTGATACATGGAGTTAAGAATGTTATCTTGAGGAGGTGGATCCATAAAATCAAAATCCAACAAGTTTTGAATTTTGAGAGACTTGAGCAGCAATACCACATTCCCAAGATTTGTCTGTTGAATCTCTGGCACAGGGCTTTGCAGCATTTCATTCTCATAAGCATTCTCTGTATAAAGTCTGTAACAAGTCCCTGGGCCAGTTCTACCAGCTCGACCAGCACGTTGGTCTGCAGAAGCTCGACTAATGGGGAACACTTGTAAAGCATCCATACCCATACGGGGATTGTACACCTTCATTTTAACATAGCCTGTATCAATGACATAGAAAATTCCATCAATGGTCAAGGACGTCTCAGCGATATTAGTAGCAACAATGCATTTGCGAGCCCCATCTTCAGCATTCTGGAAAATTTTTGCTTGCAGATCAGCAGGCAGTTGAGAGTATATAGGAAGAATTAACAGCTTGGGTACTGGTTGCTTTGTTGATGAGATAAGTTGTTCCATCCTCTCTGAAAGTGCATAACAGGTTGCTTCGATCTCATCCTGACCAGTCAAGAAGATGAGTATATCACCAGGGGCACCAGCAATATGGATAGTCATGGCTTGCTTAACTGCAGCTTCGACATAGTCTTCACATGGGGTTTTACTATAACATATTTGAACTCGAAAAGTCCTTCCAGGTATGTGAAATATTGGTACGCCCCCAAAGAAGTTTGAGAACTTCTCGCCATTGAGAGTGGCAGAAGTGACAATAAGCTTAAAATCACGTCGCCTAGCCACAACTTTCTTGAGAATGCCAAAAAGGACATCAGTGTCAAGTGATCTCTCATGGGCTTCATCCATTAAAATTATACTATATTTCTCAAGATCGGGATCCTTAAGAGTTTCCCTTAAGAGCACACCATCGGTCATGTACTTGATAACAGTACTTGGCCCAGTGGCATCTTCAAAACGAATAGCATATCCAACTTTATCCCCGAGCTCAGTTTCCATTTCCTCACTAACTCTTTTGGCAACACTCATCGCTGCCACACGTCTAGGTTGGGTGCAACCTATGATCCCATTAACTGTATAACCATATTCATACAGGTACTGAGTTAGCTGTGTTGTTTTTCCAGAACCAGTTTCTCCAATAATAACCACCACCTGATTTTCACTAACCACCTGCAATAACTCATCTCGCACAGAGAATATGGGCAAATTCTGTCGTTGCTGTGAAATTGTTTTCGATTTTGTAAAATCACTGACAGCTAAGTGCTGCGAGAATCTGGCTTTTCCCTTAAAATCAACCGCACCATCCTCACCCACTACAACAGTATCTGCATCAATCTCATCAACACTCTTCTCCACACCAAGAATATCTCCGAGTTTCGACCCAGCTAGCTCCCAAAATCTTTGCCGAGACTTATCCCTCTTTTGTTTTTCGTGTATCTCCCGAACAAGAGCTGACCCTTTTCGTGAAATTAGTGCCATATCGGACATTGCATCCTTAATTGGCAATATCGGCTCAGTTTGCTCAGTGAAAATAACTCTCCCATCCAAAAATGGAGGCAGCTTTATATCATGAACATGAAGAATCACCTTCCGTTCCTCTTCATCATCATCAAACTCCGTTTGCACCTTGTTACCTCTAACAGCTCCAGATCTCAAAAGCTGACGATTCTCCCAGTTTTTGCCAAGGATTTTTTTTCTAGTTCGTGAATAATCATTTGTACTACCTATTTCAGAGATACAATTTCTTTTAGCACTAAAATTGTAATTTTTTGCAGGATACTTAGAAGTTGAAGATCTTACCGATGCCCTAATTGGAATTGGAGAAGGAGCCACAATGTCCCACGGAGAAGAAGCAGCAACAGCATATGAATGTTCTTCGCTACTGGTTCTCTTTCTCCTTCTCACTTCCATGGATTTGCTTCTTCTATCCCTCTCCGCCATATATGTTTGTTTGAATTTGAAGGAAGATGGAATATTGCTTCTCACTATTTGGTGTAGTTTTCAAATTAGATACAACTCCTCTATTTATAATCCAATAAATCGAGTACGCAAATTATCAGGTATGATATGTGGCTATTTATTTAATTTTATATAAATTTAAAAGCGGAATAATCAAGTTTAAGAGCGGAGAAAACGAAAATTGAGATAATAGTTGAATGGAATGGAAGTAAAAGGCGTGGAACCACATGTAAGGCGCATGGGCACGTACAAGAGCCCATACATCTTACACTTCAGGTTAGCCAATCGGCCCTTAAGGGATGAGGGCAAAGGCGGGTTCATGCGCCTTTGCCCCTTTGATTTGATTCATAATTTGCTTGCTCTTTTGTTTAGGGTTCAAACTCCATAGATTTCGATCTTATTATGAGGCCTCATGGGTAATCTATACAAATTGTCACGTAAGATGCTGAATAAAATATTTACTTGTTCAATTTTATACACGTTTAAATTATATATTTGTTGGCTAGTTTTAATTTAATGACTTAGGCTTCTAAATTTGGCAAGAAACTTCCACCAAATATTACATCCTTGGTGAGCAAGTATTGAATTTTATACACATTATCTTCATGTGCAAATACAATAGGCACATGCTCACATGACTTGTCCAAATGATATGACCACACATTATTCTCTTTCCTTGCCCACCAAGTAGAATTGTTGTGTTTTTTATTTGGTGGTTAAAGTATCGATTCAAATCGAAAAATTGAATATAATTAATTAAATAAATTATATTTTTTGGATTTGATTTTTAAATTTTATAAATAAGTTAATTTTGTTTAAAAAATTAATTTGATAAATTATATGTACATATCATATTAATTTATTGAATAAATTTAAATATTTATATTTTTCATATAAAAAAAACGGGTTGTAATTGTGCTATCAGTTCTCATGTAAAGTATATTTAATTTGTGTTTAAGTAGATTTGATTTATTTGTTAGCAGATTTATTATAGATTCTAATTTATCTATAGCGTTTTAAAATAGATTTTAATTATGATGTAATTCATGAAGTATAATAACATTTTTTTTCTTCAAGAGGATTATCAACTTTTTGTGCAAGAAAGATAATGTTTCAAGACTATTTAGCTTTGTAGTATTCTAGTTTACACGATTTATACCATATTAAAAAT